AAGTTGGGCTGAGCATGGAGGAGTTATATGTCCCACGGTCCTGGATCCCCATCCCCGGGACCGCTACGCTTCGACAGCCAGGGGCTCGTCATCTCCGAACATGCCAAGGACAGCTGATCACATGCCCATATTACACGCGTTCTAGTACTGACACACCAACTACGTACCGTTAGGTAGCAGTGGTTAACGAACCAGCATTGTTCTTTGATTAGCCGTCTCCCGTTTCGTAAAAGGCCTCGGGACAAATGCACGCGAAGTCTCATCAATCCAATAGGGAGAGAGATACTAGTTATACTCTAGATCCCTGAGATCGGGTAGGCGTGGCCTGCATGTTTCAACTTAACCTGAAGGTGTCTATGCTTCTGGTGAGATATTTTCATCTTGACACAATTGTTGTCTCTGTCCAACACAGAACAAGATGTTACTGAGAGATGAAAGGAATGCTTTTTCAGCTGATTCCTGCAGTATCGCTTGGATATATGAGAGAAGGATTGGCTAGTAAGTGTCATGGAAACTCACTCAGTAAAATGATCTACATAATAAGTCTCGGCACTATTTACCTTTTACTGCCCCAACCTTCCGAAAACAGGCCAGTTTCTGACCGACTTTTTCTGCGTTGGCAGAATTGGCTGAAAATTTGTTCCTGGGGTAGTTTGACCTCCTGAACATGAATATCACATCCGCTCGGCACGAAACCTCCTGGCGCCCGCGCTACAGGCGCTGGCGCCAAAATACCTCAAATCACCGGCGCCTGTGGCGCGGGCGCCAGGAAGTTTCGGGCTGAGCGAATGTGATATTCGTATTCAGGAGGTCAAACTACCCCAGGAGACAACATTTGAGCAAAATCTGTCCACGGAGAAAAAAAGTCGGTCAAAAACTGGCTCAATTCTGGATAGGTGGGGCAGTAAAGGGTGAATAGTGCCTAATTCTCAGTCGTTTTCATGAAAAGATAGCATTCCAGGTGGAGGTATAGGCCTTTACATATTTGCGATGCAGTTTCTTATCATCATTCTCTCGTGTGCGGTAAGTGAACAAACACTGTGTTACCAAAATATTGCAGAAAAATGCTAAAAAATCAGCTGTATTCATAAGGGCGTCCCACGATGCGCCCTGAGGTCCCTGCCTACATAGTACTGAACCCATAGAAGAACGCTTGAAGCCTTTTCAGGCTTTTGACACAAGACATGTCCGCTTTTTGATAGTTGTTTTTCTTGTTTTAGAGACGTTGTAAAGAGAGGGGGGTGTCGGACTCATCATTGTTGGGAAGGAGGGACCGTATACGGCTTATAGCCTTTTGGGAGAGGTTGCGAGATTTTGTAGATTTTCCTGTCTGATATGTACTATATACTACGTCCCCCTCCCTTCTCTACCGCTCCATTCAGTGAGGAGAGACAGAGGGCCGGAGCGGGGGGGGGGGGCTCGTACCAACCCGCAAAAAGGGAGGCGGATCGTACAGACTGGATCTAAATCCCCAACTAATGATGTGAAAGAGCTGAAGCTCCGATGCTGTGACGCGTAGCGCTAAGATCTCTCAAGTGTTATCTTACGACTACTGTTTCCGATGACCCGCAGTAAAGAAAAAACATCGAGCAAGCAGCAGCAGCCTAAATACTGTCGTAGCACCACTTTAGCACACCATTTCTTCCAAGAAATCGGTTTTTTTTATTTCAGGCATTCCTCATCATCATAATAGTCAACACGTCTTCATTTCATAGACGACACTGTTCCGAAATGCGCTTAACCCGAAGATATCAAATCGACGAGAACATTCGCACGGGAAAATACGTGATACCTGTGGCCCTGAACGAACTATTCGTGAAGGTGGTGGAACTTTAGGTTATAAGCATCTATGCAACGCATACAAAGTTGTATAATAGCTAGGGAGACTAAGAAGCAACTTCAGGTGGCCCACCAGCCTACTGCTAGCGTATTCGATTTTCTTCACCGACATCCCTATAGGATATGACACTAGTCACCTCACTCATGTTTTTCGACCTCGTTAGTCACCTTTCCACCAGTTTTAGCTGCCTTTTTTGAGAAACGGCTTCGACAAAAAAGCGGAACACTTTTTTTTCCAGAT